GTCTTGAAAAACCAACCAACCAACCAAAATAATAAAATAATAATAATAATAATAATAATAATAATAATAAGAAGAAGAAGAAGAAGAAGAAGAAAAGAAAAAAAAACCCAAACCCAACAACAACAAAAACAAACAAACAAACAAACAAACAAAAAAACCCCAGAAACCAAAAGAAAACATCAAGCTAGGCTCTTCGGATAACCTTTATTGTTTACATGTCAGAGGATGGAGGTTGTTAGTCCTTCACATCTCATGTTTTAGGATTAGGGCTCCCTCCTGGGTAGGGGGCAAGAAGAAAGCCAGGGGAAATTAAGGGAACATGAGAAGGGAAAGGAGCCCTCTCACCCTGAGATGTACTTTGCCTTTTTCGATGATTGATCATCAAGAAACCTCAGTACAACTGACAACGCTAAAACTGCCCACAGAGATGACTGTGTGTTTCCCTAAAGACAGCTCAAGCACGGATGTTTAAAACGATTAATTGTGCTCACTTAGGGCCGGAGTGTTTGGAACCTTAGTTTTACTGTACTCACTCATTTCTGATCCTTTACCCAAACAGTTCATCTCAGCTACCTTGCCGTTTGATTTACAAAAGGAAATTCTTTAAGAGAAAGAAGACAGCCATATATTTTTACTTCTTTTTAATACATTACTTACTCTTTAAACCTTGCTTAATTTTAAAACTTATTGCAAATTACATCCTCTGATTAGGGTAACTTAGTAGGCCACAGTATCGCACGAATTGATTGCAAAGACAACTAAATGCCCACCTCCCTCTTGCAAAGCCCTCACCCCGCCCCTTAAAAAACGAACCTAAAATGTGCACACTTCCTTACCGGCATAAACTCATGAACCCTGCTTCACTCTGGCTTGCTTTAAAATTCTTTTCTGTGGTACAGTCAAGGATCCAGCTTTACTTGAGTGGAGGCTGCTAAGCCGAAAGGGTTGAATTCAAGAGGAGTTGAATTGCTGAGCCCAGGTCAAGGCTGTCAGGTATGTGAGCGTGATTTCCGGGGACCTGAGGATTGGATGGAGAGAGCCATGAAGGGGCGGGGCGGGGCGGGGGGGGGCTTCTTGATCTTCATCTTCCAGCCCCTATTTGTTTCATTCCAGAGGCAGTGGGGAAAGCTGGGGTCCATCCCTGAATGCCCGAGGGTTGGGCTGCAGGCTGAAGGGTGGATGTCCATTTGCAGGCCCCTTAGGCCCAAGAGGCTAACAATGGAGAGGGTATTTCTGCATTTTGGGCACTAGATGGCGACACCTCCCTTCAGACAATTAAAGTTGTCAGATACCAAAGCACCCTTGAGGTTAGAGTCGTGTCCCTGCAGTTTCTGGGTCCTAATTTTGGGGATTTGGAGTGGGAAAATTTTTATGTTTTGTTAGACTGGACGCGTTGATTGCGGAGCTAAACTGGTTATGGATCCTATTCTCATCCAGTAGGTTCAATCAACAGTTAGCCAGAGCTTATTGTGTGCCAGCCCTGGGCTGTACTCTGGGGCAGAGAGCTGGAAGGGATACAGCAGTGGCAGCCAGAGAGCATACAGTGTCTCCACAGGGCTTGTAGCCCTGACAGGGATCCAGACACAATGAAAATGGCCACAAAACAATGGACCCCTATCAACTGAGCTGTTACAGATGATTGATGCAGGGTGCTACGAGACCATATTAACTAGAAAAACATGGCTTGCCCAAGCTTTCAGGGAAAACTGCTCTGTCAATAAACTATGCATATCCTGACAACTCCTTTGCTGCAATACACCATTATACCTACTAAAACATGCCTAATTATAATCCCATTTATATCCAGTGAGCCCCCCACAACATTCCATTACACCCCTGCATAAAATCCCATCCTAGACTCCCCTGTAGACCTTAATTACAGATGCTATTCCACTACGTATTCCTTCCTCCTGTAACCATGAGCAAATCTTTTTAGAGACCTTTCCCCTGTCCCCACATTCTCCACAATCCCATGAATGTACTGTCTCATCTATTAGGAGAAATCGCATCAGACAATGAGCTCTGATTTTACTCAGCTTCCTACTGCCACTCCACTGCACCTCACAGGTTCTATATTTGCAAAAACACACAGCAAACCCAATGTCCCACATCACACATCTTATCACAGGCATGTTATGGTTGCTATCACTGGGCCGGGTCACAGCGTCCATCTAGAAATGCACAGACCTCTATTGTCTTCTTTGCTTTACAAAGGAGGAGCGGGGGTGGGGGGGTGTAGGAGGAGGCTTGCCTCTGGATGCTCTCTTGCCTGCATCCAGCCTTACCAGTCCTAACAGCTCCCAGGACGGTAGGTAGCACTTGAGCACAGGCTCCAGATCTGAGGTCTAACTTGGTCTATGTCCATCCTGAGATGGGTGTCCACTCATTGTCTCCTCCTCCTCAGAGGGGAAGTCACTAGGTCCTTGTTATGGTTCTGCTAACTGATCACTTAGCCAGTACTCCCTTTTCCCCCTCCAGCCTGGAGGAGAACTTTCCCCTACTTGGAGAACATCTAAGGCTGGAAGAAACACCCCTGAAGGAATCATCTCATTTAACATCCCTTGATTTTCTCTCTCCCTCTCCTTTCCTGACACCCTCTTGCTCATCTAGTTTTTCTTTTTGTGAATGTAAATGCATAGCAGGCTTCCACAGTGGGCAAGAGCTGGAAGGAAACACGTGACCCAGTCTAACCCCTTCATACACAAGTGAGGGAACTGAGGCTCAGAGCAGGAAAACTATCTGCTCACACTCTACAGCTGGTCAGGGTAGAACCAGCGTTCCTACCATTCCTCAAGAAGTATTCCTCCAGCAGCTGCCTCTCATGTGCCTCCTTGTTCACGTTAGTCAAGAAATGCTACTTGCATTCAGAAGGCACGTCCAATGCGAACCACTCCAGAGATTGTATTTCAAAGATTGATAGACATGGCTTTTGCATTATCTGCTGTTTCAGATTAGCTATGCTGTGGCTTCATTCTTTGGGGGTTGACATTGGGGGTGGGAACCAATTTTGAGTCCCTCTCTGAAGTCCTGAGCTCTGGCCTATGAGACTGGGCCTAAGAGGGACAGAGTGATCCATTCTATATTTTCAGTGTGTCAGGAGATTTCATTATTTAAACAAACATTTCAATGAAGCCATCCAGCTGGGCAGTGATTTATGGCCCTGGCTACAGTTTTTCCCCAACAAAGATAAACAATCCTGCAACTCTTGGGACTGGGACTCCTGGTTCTAATAACTTGGAGCTGGCTGGACCGCCAGCCATTGCCTGGTCTGGGGTTTGGTTAAGATCTGTTCACACTGGTCCTGCGGCTGAGCCACAAACCTTGGGGGCCCATGTTGTGCTTGGAAGCTGGAACTACCTCTAGGGCATTGAAGAATGGCATAAAGGAGAGAAATAACTCGGGATGGGGGGCTTCTGACCCACCCCCTCTTCCAGGGAAGCAGTAATGTTCTGTGTTAAGTAGATATTTGGTATTTCAGTACAACAGTTTCTGTTATTGTTGTTGTTCTTCTTATTACATTGCTTATTTATTTTTTTGTGCGTAGGCATGTAACTCAGATGATAACTTGTTGGTTCTTGCTTCCACCACGGGGGTCCTGGGGATCAAACTCAGGCCATTAGGCTCCGCAGCAAGTGCCTTACCCATGGAGTCATCTTGCTGATCCTAAATTTCTGGTTTTGCTTGCATTGGTAAGTGGCACACCAGTTTCCTTCTTTATGTCTAATCCTCAGCTCTGGCCTCTGAGTTCAGGGCTGAACAATCAGAGCAACATATTCTTGCATGTCATAGCTGCTGACCAAGGGGGTAGAGGGACATCACATTTTATGAAGAACACAAAAAGGCAGCTGGGACTTCTGGGAAAGAAGTGCATATTTTTTTTCCCTCCTGGGCTTGAAGTGGGATGATATGTATGTGTGACTGACCACAAGAATTGTTGCCAGGGAGATAGATGGTAGGACAATGGATCGGATACTTAGGATGTGGGGACCGAGGGCTGGAGAGCATTTAACCAGGTCGTCTTTTGAGTGAGGTAGGCTTTGACTTGCAAGTACATGACAAGTACAGGAATCTATGTTTACCATGAAGTACAGCAAGGGACCAGCTAGGATGGACAGTCCAAGTCCAGCGTCTGGCTTGTATGGTTTACCACATGGGCAGTGACTTCCCCACAGTCTGACTACTTGCATGTTTGACTCATCTCAGTGGAAGGTTGTGTAGCTGAGGCAGATGCAGAGCAGAGAGGAACGCAGCTCACATTCACACATTCCCAAAGAGTTCTTGGTAAAGCTGAGGGAAACACAATGGGGGACAATTATTGAAGGAGATTCCCAAGAGAAGCAAAATCAAAATCCTTCAGAGAACACCATGATTAGGTGGAAACATCACAGTAAAAGGACTTTGGGTGAATCTTGAAAAGTGAGGAGATTTTTGATAGGTAGGGATGGACAGAAGATTTGACCAGTAGATGGAATGGGAGGTAGAAGGGATTATTCAGGGAATGTTGGGAAGTGGAGTCCGATGAGAGGTTAAATCCAGCAACTGATAAGGTAAGTTGGGGTCATAGTCTGATGCCTGTATTATGAAGCTTGCTTTTAGATCAGTGGGCAATGGGGAGCTTTCGAGACCTCTTGAGTAGGGAAGGATCCTTATAGGAGTTTCCTGCTGTGGAATATTAGTTTATGATGTGTTACATTTGTTTATGCTGCAGAATATTTGTTTAATGATGCGAAGATGTGTTGCATTCTTTTTTAATGATTTATTTATTTGCATTGGTGTGTCTGTATAAGAGTGTTGGATCCTCTGGAACTGGAACTACAGACACTTGTGAGCTGCCATGTGGGTACTGAGAATTGAACCCAGGTTCTCTGGAAGAGCAGTCAGGGCTCTTATCTGTTGAGCCATCTCTCCAGCCCCATTAATGTGTTCTTTTATGTTGCATTTGTTTAACTCTGTGAATCTGTGTTACTGTGCCTGCCTAAAACCACTTGATTGGTCTAACAAAGAGCTGCATGGCCAATAGCAAGGCAGGATAAAGGATAGGCAGGGCTGTCAGACAGAATAAATAGAACAGAGACAAGGGAGAGGTGGGAGAAAAGGAGAAGGAGAGGAGGCCCCCAGGGGCCAGCCACCCAGCCACACAATCAGCCAGGGAGTAAGAAGGAAAGAAAGGTAAATAGAATAGAGAAAGGTAAAAGCCCAGAGGCATAAGATGGGATAATTCAAGTTAAGAAAACCTGGCTAGAAACAAGCCAATCTAAGGCTGGGTATTTATAAGTAAGAATTTTTAATTTATAATAAGAGACCAGCCTTGTCTAAAGAGTGAGTTCCAGGATAGTCTCCAAAGCCACAGAGAAACTCTGTACCGAAATACCAAAAACTAAAACCAAAACAAAAGGAAAGAATAAAACTCCATGCGTTTATTTGGGGGTTGGGTAGCAGGTCCCTAAAAAAACCAAGGACAATTGCTCTTGAGGGGCTTCAGGTGGAAACAGGGAGAGGGTGAATATGGAAACAAGTCACTGATGTAACGTGAGGACATTCTTGATTTGTTCACAGAACAGGTAGCAGGGGGTTCTATTCATTCGCCTCCGACTGCCTGAGCTACTGATGCAAAACTTTAGTTCAAAAGCCATAGAAGGAAAAGTTGATGTGTTTAACTAAATAAAAATTCAAAAGTTCTACGTGCTCCAAATCCCCTAAACAAAGTCAAAGGCAAGGGCATGCTGGGAAAGTACTTGCTACACCAATGTCACAGGGCTACTTTCCTAAAAATATGTTTCTGTCTCACTGGATCCCACAGCCCTTTAGTCCCAAATAAACACACAGAGGCTTATACTAATTATAAACTGTTTGGCTGTTGGCTCAGGCTTCTTACTAGCTCTCTTCCCTCTTAATTATGAACCCATTTCTGTTAATATATGTATTTCCATGTGGTCTTGGCTTACCAGAGAATGCCCAGGCATCCTACCTTCCTGGTGGTTACATGGTGGTTCTCTCGAGACTCACTCTCTGTGTTC